TATATATATATATATATAAATTCATAAAATTTTAATATTTATAATTGAAGCTGAAGTCATTGAATTAAAAAAAAAGTTTCTTCGATATGAATTTTTAATAATCAACTATGTATTAAATATATAAGGCTCTTTACGAAAAATGATATAATTTGAAACTGCTTATATTATTATTATATTATCCAACCATGTGTTAAATATGTAAGATTTTTTACGGAAAGTAATGTAATTTAAAATTACTCATATTATTATTAATAATTAACATTTCTAAAACGTAAAATTTAATAATCAATAAATGTAACAGTGGATTTAATATTATAGATTAAATATAAAAGCAATGGAAATACTAGAGTACGTATGAAATATTAAACTGAAACAAGTATTCAAACTATTTACTTTATGAGCGAATAGAAAGTCGAGTTGAAATTTCGTGTGATTGGAGCGAAATGAAAGAGAAATGTTTGTAAGAAAATACAAATTAAATTTTACTTAGAGGACTAAAAATTATTCTTTTTTTTCTGGATAATATGGTTGAACTGTCATCCAGCTCTCATATTTTTCAATTTAATTTGACGCAATTAAAGCAAATAACTAAAAAAGTTAATTCCTACGATGAAAACATAGATAGTTAAATTTGCAACTTTTACTAATAGATAGTTAAATTTGCAACTTTTTACTAATAGTAAATAGACTGAATTTCTATCGAATTACGTACATACTTACTTCCAATTGTAGATATTGAATTTTATGTCTTGCACATTTTAGAAAAATGTCAGTTTGACATAAGGGATGGATGGAAAGTTAAAGCGAAGAATCGACAGGTTTAAAAATTATGCTATATGATATATATTAAAGTGAGTATTTTTAATTTTCAGATTAGTATGTGCATAATTTTATTGGTCTGTGTCCCATTAGGGAGGAGCAGCTCGCTTACGAAAACTTTTAATAATTCAAAAGTTAAAAGTCGAAAAATATTTAAAAAAAAAATTAAACACCATGTCTAAAATACAATATGTTATACAGAGAATACAGTATCAGTAACGTGCAAAGTGGCACTAAAATAACAAAAAGAAAATTCTCCAAAGTAACTCACTCTTACGAGGCACAAATTCCGAACCAACGAACTCCACGAGACTTAAATTTTTGATCTCGACTCGTCGAAATCAGCCAGATTGGCAAAGAAAATGTAAATAATCACTCCAAATAAAGTTCCCTGAAGTGAGGTTCAGCCAAACTACGTTTATTAGCTGAATTAAATTTCCAGCAAA